CGCGCCTGCTGGCCACGGCGCTGACGCGCGAGAAGGACTGGGCGGTGCTGGCGCGGCTGCTGCGCGCGCTGCCGGCGCTGCTGGCGGCGCGCGCGCTGGTGCTGGGGCGGCGCGCGCAGGACCTGGACCTGCTGGCGTCGACGCTGTGCGCCATGGTGAGCGACCGGAGCCTGAACTTCCCCGAGTGCCTGCGCGCGCCGCAGCACAAGCTGCTGGTGTCGGAGTTCCAGGGCGCGGCGCTGCCGGCGCTGGCGGCGATGGCGCCGTACCACGCCTACCTGGAGCCGCAGACGCAGCAGCGCATAGTGCGCTGTCTGCTCAAGTACGGCATGGGTGAGTACTCGCCCCGTGGCGCACTCTGCTGATTATCTGCAAATGGAATACTCGCAAACATTAAGATTCAGAAATTGAAATAAAACATGTAATGCGTTTATATATAATAAAAATAGTCCAAACAGATTACACGCACACGCATGACGAAGCAGCAAATTTCATCCACCAAAAAATTGCTTTAAAGTATAATCCGAGTTCCTCCCGTCAGTACCATACTATAAGCTCTATTCGCAACCCGAAACTGAGCTTGAAAACTCGTCCCTTAAATTATATTTTGCTGAACCATCCTCACTAACTGACACAACCACTCATTACAATAGACCAGGCTTTACCCTCATTGACAGAACTAGCAAAACTACACAAATCCATATCCAAGACAGCCACACCACACCCACAATGTTTGGTATGTACTTACCTCCAGAATACAACAGCTAAAAACTTTCCAAGAATCCGGACCTCGAAACTGAACAATGTCTATCATCCCTACAGTACTTTCAACAACAGGTGTGGCCCCAAACAGCGCCATCAATCGATCAATACTAACACTGCATCTCAACAAATACTTGCCACGTAGTCGGAAAGGTTCTGAATGAAACAGATGTTTCGGACGCCCACACCCCAAATTGAGACACCCAAGTTCGGCCCGTTCTAACCCTCAAACCCGGCCTTGTAGCGGAGCTAAAATAAAAAAGAAAAATAATTTTACAGCTCGTCAATGAAATAATAATATGTTACAATTTGGTCAAATAATTGTATCACTCATGAACTCGGTCACACTGTAGTAAACCTTTTGCAATTAAAAATGAGCCTTTCTTTATCCTTGGATTTTGGTCTATTGATAAACATAGAAATGTAATTGTAGTAACAGATTGTACTATTATTTTAATTTTTAATGTCAGTATTATTCGATGCATTTGGTCTTTGACTGAAGTGCATGCTAACAGTTTTACTTAAATTAATGTTTAGGTTGTTATTGCTATTACATAATGCCATCGTTGTATTCTTCTTTATTACATGGAATTGTACGTGTACGGTACGTGTTTGCTTGTACAAAGTGAGTACAATCATCGACGCGCGCTAGTGACAATTGCTACTCTGAGTGCTTATTGAAATACTTGCAAATATATTTAAAGTAATGCAAGAGAGAGCACACGTGACACGATGTTGACGTTGCCGAAATCGTATTAACTATGAGATCGTGTTGAAAATATTGATTGAATAAATAAATAAGAAGTGTTTATTGTAACAAAAACATTTGACATACAGTTTATGAATACTAATATGTAAACTAGGCCGAGCCTGTACCTTAGATAAAAAGATTGAATATAAAATGTTGTACCAACCGTGCAGTCAAAGTAATAATTACATTGTGATAGCTCCGATAGTATTTTGCTTGTGATCGGTTCTTTGAGCATACTGAGAAATCACTGAACAAAACGAAAATTGATCATAACTTTCGAACCGTTAAGAATCGAACCCGAAGAATCGAATTCTCAGAGCAATACGTAGGTTATGGCCTTCTGTATAGTTCCAGGGGCATCCTGTATAATCAAAGTGGTTATTATGAGGTTACATGGTGCAAAGGTTTCAAGGCTTTTTTATTGGATAATTCGCTTAGTCAAGTTTACACATGTTCCGCAGTGCTGAGGACCCCGCAGCCGTACATCAACGCGCTGACGATATTCACACTGGAGACCAGGGAGACCATGGTGAAGATGTTGCCGGAGGTGTTACTGGATCTGTCCAAGATCTCCGACACCAAGGCCATCGCCAGCCCCATGCTGGAGTTCCTGTCCAGTAAGTAGCCGGCGGCGCCCGCGGCGCGGCGCGGCGGGCGCGGCTGACGGCCTGTCTGTTGCAGCGCTGACGCGGCTGCCGAAGGTGTTCGCGTCGTTCGTGGAGGACCAGTACATGTCGGTGTTCGCCATCCTGCTCCCCTACACCAACCCGTCGCGCTACAACCACTACGTGGTGTCGCTGGCGCACCACGTCATCGCCGCCTGGTTCCTCAAGTGCCGCCTGTCCTACCGCCGCAACTTCGTGCGCTTCATCATACACGTGCGTGTCCGCCCGCCCGCGCC